CGGCGCCTTGAGGATTCCTCTAGAGCGTTGACTCTCCTCGAAGTGGGCTTCTTCCTGCCTCGACAAGAATAGAAGTCCCTCTAGCCTGGTCCAACTGCCGAAATTCTGGATGTTGGTGATGTAGCTCCCTGTTATCCCACCGCTGCCACCATGTAATGTATTTTCTTGTTGTAGTTGTTGTACTGATGTTACTACCAGGTAGTTTATAACGGTAGTTGTAGTAGTAGAGTTCCTGATATATTTTCTATTGGTCAGGATAATCAGATGGTAGTGTGAGGAATCTAAGTTCCTCACGCAGGAAGCCTTGAGGTGAACCAGCAACAGCCGATGTCCAAGTCCAAGTAGAGTTTATTCAAAGAGTAAACTGAAGTTCCAGTGAACAGCAGTGATAGCATAGTAATCTTTTTCCTTCAGTCCAGATAGTGGTTTATATAGGATCAGAATGAATAGTCACATTATGGGGACGGAAATGAGGCAATTCCCCAATCAGAACCTTTGACCGTTGACATCTGTGGGGGCCAAATGTCATCCACAAGATAGCACCAAATTTATGTATCTGTTGAGTGTAAGATTTATACATCCGTTATTTCCAAAATATGCTAATTTATACTGATATAAGTTATTCCACTATCTGGTCTGTTTATTCCCTGACTTATATATTGATAATAAAATGTCAAAGGAATAAATACATAATTATTTAGGAGGAGGGTTCAAGGTACATAGTACATTACATATTACAATGTATTGATAACCCCATAACAGTTTTAGTGTGGTTTTTGCTGCACATTATATTGAAACATAAAATAATTTTTTCTCAGATTATGTTTCACATATTCTGTGAAGAATTCAAGTATGAGAATTATTCTGTTTTTCGTTCTTGAAATGGCATACAATCTAGTTTTATACCTATGTCTTGCAAATATCTTGTTGTTTCACCAATATAACTACTAGACCTGATCATAAACATTCAAAATTACTTCTTGACTATTTACCTATTTTAAGATAAAGGCCTGAACAGCCATTAGCGAGACTAGATGATACAATCTTCAAACTTGCGGGACTTCTTCCTTGTTACGCATACATATTCAACAAAACATTCATAGAATCTTCTGGATAGTTTTAAAGTCGACCAATCGCCTCAAACTTTAAACGTCTTCATGGATCGAATACCAATGAAATATTACAAATTTAAAATAACGGAAGGGAAATTGGAAGTAAATTTCATGTACAGCAGCGTTTTTTTAGACAATCCATTATCTGCTTTGAGCGAGTCTGGTCGGGCACCCCGTTAATGCTACACTTTTTGATTAATCTTACATATTACAGGTACAGGAATTTAGAACAGTACAGTAAACCTATTCCAACTAAATCGCGACTACACGTCTATACGTTCTGTGTAATAGTGACTATTAGTATAATTACATGCCGTGTTATATACCTTCAAAGTGTTAACACCCTATTGTAAATCAGTGTATTTGCATAAAAGTGAATTTATCTTCAATGACGTAATACAGACTATTTCCTTCTAATCACGCTGGAGCTTCTAAGAAATTCGATTGCTGATTTCGTCTCGAAACTCCTTATAAAATTAACCGTAGCATCTATTTTACCATATAACAAATCTCACACGTTGAAATGTGTCTATTTATCTATCTATCCCCCAATCATCCATGACACCACCACCACCACCACCACCACCACCTTTTTCCTTTCCATGTTTTCACTAAGGGATGTCGAGACAATATCCGAGCTCGGTAACGTGTTCTTAGGAATTTCAAGTGGCACCCAATTGAGGCGAATTTAATCACTTTCAAACGCCGACATGCAAGAACATAGAGATCTCTTCGACTGACTAAACGCAATTTGTGGGAAAAGTTTGTCTCCTCAATATCTAACTCCACGCCTTCCTCTGTCGTATGGGAACGTCTAGAGAATATATCATGCAAATGTAGCCATACTTTTATTCCTGCCCTTCCTCTGACTGGAGCAATGGTAACTTCAAGAGATGAAGTTGCTGACATGTCATCTTCCTTTGAAGCGGCCTCAAGCTCCGACATCTATGTTCCTTCCTTCTTGCAACTTAAAGTACGTCAGGAAAGCAGCCTTCTCATATTCGCGAATGGAGCGATAGATCTTTATAACTCATTTTTTTCTAGATGTCACAGCTAAAATGTTCTCTGTTACACGCCCGTGATACAACCCCCGGACCGGATACCATTCATAACCAAATGCTTAAACACTTATCCCATTCCACGCCAGTATTGCTCTTGGATATGTACAATCGAATCCGGAGTGAGGGCTCTTTTCCATTAAAGTGGAGAGAGGCGATCACCATACCCATCCTAAAAGAGAATAAAGACCGGTCCCTGACCTCCAGCTATCGCCCTATATGTCTTCTTAGCTGTGTCTGAAAGGTGATCGACAGAATGGCCAACTCCATACTAATCTGGATACTAGAAACCCAAGGTCGACTCAGTTCATGATATAACATCACTCGAAGACCACAATTATGCAGGATTAGTAACCATTAAATGAACGATATGTTTCGTAAGCGAAATACAGCGGCCATTTCTTACGCATGTCTCTTGATTCTCTACTAGATGGCTCTAGCAGAGGCAGTGGGCTGGTCACTCACTACTCACAAATGCACACTTAAAAAGACTGAGAAACCTCCGAAAGTAGGCGGCGAAGACCCACACTAGGTTGTACAGCCACACGAAGAAGAAGCAGGAGAAGGAGACGAAGAAGAAGAAGAGGACCGTATTATAATCATAAAAAATAAATGGACATCTCCGTGGGTTATACTTTTCCCACACTTGATATATAGCCTACAACAAGGATACAGATTTTGCACAACTTGTTCAAGAACATAAGCACTATTCGATCCCTTTTCATACGAGCCAGTTTTAATTTTCAAAGGAATCAATGACTTTTCATACAGAACTGCTCAGATTCTTTCAAATGTTTTTGTTTCGTCGTGAACTTCGAATCGGACTCCCTGGTGCTGAAGGAATGGATGTCTTAAAATGTAGTCTGTTGTGAATGGAAGCCGTATCTGAGCTTGCGACACCTAGCAAACTGCGATGCGACCTAGTGCTATAAATAACTATGTGTTACTCTGTGAAACATAGCGGCAACAGGCCAATTTGTGACCAAATGTTATGTAATACAGTGTAATTAGTGTTTTATATGCTGGCCAGTTCGTTGCTATTGCGATTTACGAAGCAACAAAGGCACTAACAGCAGGTACGTACGATTAAACTACGCTCATCTTATGGGCACACACAATTTCTGTATTCTTGTTTCTAACTAACGCTAACACAACACAGAATAGCATGGCTTTCATAGACTTCATATTACTAAAACGTAATGTAATCTCAAGAAAACAAAACTGTTTTGCAATTAAAATAACATGTCATTTTCAAAACAACACTTAGAAGTTGGAAGTTTAGGATTTCGGGCGTTACACCTGATCGTAGCACTACACTCTGACAGTAGTAAAATTCATCTAAAACTCAACTGATTCGTAATCTGTTGTTTAAACAGAACATTATCCTGTTACTTAAGCTGCTTGACTGGGTTCTTCTTAAAGTGATGTGTACGTTCGCATGCGTGTTATGGTTCAGTGACTGGGATAAAAGATGTTCAGTCTCAGTTTGTTTGGTTAGTTATTCATTAGGTGTATACACGTTATTTATTTTGTGTAAAATGTTTTAAGTACAAACTCCCTGTCAAACTGTCATCCGGCAGCAAAGTATTAAAATAATTAGCAGCTAACGTTGCAAGGAATCTGACAAATGTAAGGAAAAGATATGCAGTTCCTTTACAGTTTCAGATACGTGGTTAGTTATGCAACCAATTAAAAGGAAAAGGTTTCATTGGGTCCTCTCATAGCTTGCCTTTCATTGTGGGGATAAAAATGCGGGATTATTATAGATTTGTTGTTCCACACACATATGACCTGATCTGGAAAATAGAAAACAATCTGTTCCACTGATATTTGTGGCAGCGGAAGATATTTCGGTTTCTAGTTAACGGCAGTATTTCAAGACTACCACCAGAACACCGCTGTAGTTATTAAAATGGCACAAGTCAGTGACACGTGCCCTTCTCAAACAACCTGTAAAACAATCATGGAATCTTACCAAGATAGATAGATATGAACGTGTTGTGCTGCAAGTAGCGGATGGCGTTGCTTACCATGTCCAACAACTATAAGAGATTCGGGGAGAGAATGTCCCGTTCTCGCCGATCAAGGTGACAACCCCGAAACAACCCCCTTCTGTATCCCAGGTCGTTTTCGAAACTAATAGGTCCATAGTAATGAAGTTAGCATAGTTCACCTATAAAATGCTTTTCAGATCCTTCAATAATTTTAATAACCAAAACTTGTCATATGTAAAGTCGTCGCATGGGTATCTGGCGCCTCAGGTGAACTTTCAGCTCCACGCCCCCTTCGAATTAACTTCCGAAAATGAATATTGTGCATTTGTAGAAAAAAAAATCTGTACTTTCAATGTTCTTAGATTTAGTCTACATGATAAAGGAGAGTAAGATGATGGTAAATGTACATTTCTATTGTTCTAAACTTTACACAAAACATTTACTAAGAGAAATACAGGTAAGAATGCAGAATTTTATTCAGAAAAGAACCTTATTGCTTCGTTTGTTCTTCTTCCTTTTCAACCTTACGTTTAAGATATTGTACCCTAGAATTTATTTTTAACCTGTCATAATGACAGGTCAATTGTCAAGCAATTTTATAAAATGACGCAAGCGAATCCAGTTCTTTGTAACAGAAAACTTCCTTCTTATGAGAAACCTCCGAAAGTAGGCGGCGAAGACCCACACTAGGTTGTACAGCCACACGAAGAAGAAGCAGGAGAAGGAGACGAAGAAGAAGAAGAGGACCGTATTATAATCATAAAAAATAAATGGACATCTCCGTGGGTTATACTTTTCCCACACTTGATATATAGCCTACAACAAGGATACAGATTTTGCACAACTTGTTCAAGAACATAAGCACTATTCGATCCCTTTTCATACGAGCCAGTTTTAATTTTCAAAGGAATCAATGACTTTTCATACAGAACTGCTCAGATTCTTTCAAATGTTTTTGTTTCGTCGTGAACTTCGAATCGGACTCCCTGGTGCTGAAGGAATGGATGTCTTAAAATGTAGTCTGTTGTGAATGGAAGCCGTATCTGAGCTTGCGACACCTAGCAAACTGCGATGCGACCTAGTGCTATAAATAACTATGTGTTACTCTGTGAAACATAGCGGCAACAGGCCAATTTGTGACCAAATGTTATGTAATACAGTGTAATTAGTGTTTTATATGCTGGCCAGTTCGTTGCTATTGCGATTTACGAAGCAACAAAGGCACTAACAGCAGGTACGTACGATTAAACTACGCTCATCTTATGGGCACACACAATTTCTGTATTCTTGTTTCTAACTAACGCTAACACAACACAGAATAGCATGGCTTTCATAGACTTCATATTACTAAAACGTAATGTAATCTCAAGAAAACAAAACTGTTTTGCAATTAAAATAACATGTCATTTTCAAAACAACACTTAGAAGTTGGAAGTTTAGGATTTCGGGCGTTACACCTGATCGTAGCACTACACTCTGACAGTAGTAAAATTCATCTAAAACTCAACTGATTCGTAATCTGTTGTTTAAACAGAACATTATCCTGTTACTTAAGCTGCTTGACTGGGTTCTTCTTAAAGTGATGTGTACGTTCGCATGCGTGTTATGGTTCAGTGACTGGGATAAAAGATGTTCAGTCTCAGTTTGTTTGGTTAGTTATTCATTAGGTGTATACACGTTATTTATTTTGTGTAAAATGTTTTAAGTACAAACTCCCTGTCAAACTGTCATCCGGCAGCAAAGTATTAAAATAATTAGCAGCTAACGTTGCAAGGAATCTGACAAATGTAAGGAAAAGATATGCAGTTCCTTTACAGTTTCAGATACGTGGTTAGTTATGCAACCAATTAAAAGGAAAAGGTTTCATTGGGTCCTCTCATAGCTTGCCTTTCATTGTGGGGATAAAAATGCGGGATTATTATAGATTTGTTGTTCCACACACATATGACCTGATCTGGAAAATAGAAAACAATCTGTTCCACTGATATTTGTGGCAGCGGAAGATATTTCGGTTTCTAGTTAACGGCAGTATTTCAAGACTACCACCAGAACACCGCTGTAGTTATTAAAATGGCACAAGTCAGTGACACGTGCCCTTCTCAAACAACCTGTAAAACAATCATGGAATCTTACCAAGATAGATAGATATGAACGTGTTGTGCTGCAAGTAGCGGATGGCGTTGCTTACCATGTCCAACAACTATAAGAGATTCGGGGAGAGAATGTCCCGTTCTCGCCGATCAAGGTGACAACCCCGAAACAACCCCCTTCTGTATCCCAGGTCGTTTTCGAAACTAATAGGTCCATAGTAATGAAGTTAGCATAGTTCACCTATAAAATGCTTTTCAGATCCTTCAATAATTTTAATAACCAAAACTTGTCATATGTAAAGTCGTCGCATGGGTATCTGGCGCCTCAGGTGAACTTTCAGCTCCACGCCCCCTTCGAATTAACTTCCGAAAATGAATATTGTGCATTTGTAGAAAAAAAAATCTGTACTTTCAATGTTCTTAGATTTAGTCTACATGATAAAGGAGAGTAAGATGATGGTAAATGTACATTTCTATTGTTCTAAACTTTACACAAAACATTTACTAAGAGAAATACAGGTAAGAATGCAGAATTTTATTCAGAAAAGAACCTTATTGCTTCGTTTGTTCTTCTTCCTTTTCAACCTTACGTTTAAGATATTGTACCCTAGAATTTATTTTTAACCTGTCATAATGACAGGTCAATTGTCAAGCAATTTTATAAAATGACGCAAGCGAATCCAGTTCTTTGTAACAGAAAACTTCCTTCTTAGTAATAAATAATAGTTACTTTTCAAATAATAGTTGTAAATGTAACCTCTGAAGAAGACAATTGCAAAAATAACTGAATAATAGGAACACAGACCCTATTAGCACAAGATCAGACACGTGAATAACGATGACGACTGAAGGTGTCAATTCACGAGGAAATCTGTCAGGAATTGAGCCGACTGGTCACAATATCGACTTCACTAAACACTTGTTATACGTTTGGAAGTGCGTGAGGTAAAGTTGGTAATCCTTAGATGTTGGTAGTGTTTTGTAGGATTAGCGGATAAGTTGAAATAGCTAAGTATTTCAAATGAAGAAGACTGTCGGTTTATAGATACTAATATGAATAGTTTTATTCAATCTCAAGACAAGATAAAGTTGAACAGTAGGTTACTCAAAATTAACACTCATGACCACCTTCTGATGATGTGCCTTGGGGTAATGAAACTAATATATGATATCATATAAGGTGGGGTGAATGATCAATAGTCACGAGGTATGATGTCATTCTCCTTATGAGTGCGACCCCACTCATGTGGAGTGATCTCATTACAGGAAATCATAAAGGAAAGTTGTTCCATCACCAAAAGAGACAGTCATAAGTTATATGAGCAATATCAATGCCAGACCTAACATTAGCAACTACAACAAACACACACATGTGAAGGCGCTTTCATATTACATTTGCTTAATATCAATATGTGGAATAGGGACCTATGTTACACACGTCAACCATTTGTATACGAAACCAAGTACTCTTGGCTGTACATTGCACAGCCCCGAACTCTGAACACATTTGTTCTTGCTTTCAGTTTTATTTTTCTATTTTCCGCTGTTTAATTCATTTTAATCTTTTAATTTTCTGCCCGCCCCCACCCCCCGGCTGTGGCCATTTGGAGAGAGAAATTTCTTGCCTACATTAATGTTAAGTCCGTAGTTCTCACGTGGTTTGTTCACACATCAACCGCCACTGACAGTCACCTGCAAGATCAGGTCACTTTCTAATGCTTGGCTTTCTAGACAAACCGTACTTTGTTCCAGGAATGATATTTCCATTTTTTTCCCAATGGGATTGCTTCATGCAAACCTCATGTATAGGTCCAACTTGTACGCTGAACACTTTCTATATCAAATCGTGGAATAGATGGTAGTCTTATCAGTACTACATTGTTTTCCAAATACTGGATTTGCTAAATAACATTAATTCTGACACAAAACAATAATAATAAATAGTAAATCACTGTAATAACATGCAAAAAAATGCAATGTAAATTGCTGACCTGAGTTACCAAACTTTAGCTAACATTACACTGCTCCCTGATCTTAATAGGAGATCTACAAGCTAATCAAAACTGCAGTCTGGTATAAGTTGGCAACCAAACTACATAAGTCATTTAGTAATAGACCAGTTAAAATCAAATCCGTGAAGTTTCATCTGTCATATTATCGAAACAAATCGTATCACAAGAATGTTCAGAAACTTCATTGACTACGACGTTCTTCCCGAGAAGGAAACAAATAAATCATAATTTTCAAGTAATAATAACCGTCAGAAGGCCAATTACAGACACTGCACAAAAGAGGAACACTAGAAAACAATAGCAGATACATAATAATTATAAGATTCAAGAAAGTATAAAGAAAAAATTGGAGAACAAAATAATGCATGGACAGTATCTCCGAAGTTTGGACAGACAACTTACAAGCAAAGAAGATACGTTTCTGTGGCTAACAAGAGGAGATCTGAAAGGGGAAACTGAAAGTCAGATTATAGCAGCTCAAGACCAGGCACTAAACACAAAATATTACGCAACAAAAATATTAAAAAAAGATGCAGACAGCAAATGCAGACTATGTAAGCAATTTGATGAAACGACAGATCACGTTATGTCCGGATGCCCCGTGCTGGCAAAAGAGCAGTATATACAACGACATGATCGTGTCTGTACTCAGTTACATTTTAACATATGCAGGAACGCTGGGGTAAAGCTAGAAGGGAAGAACTGGTATGAACACATCCCGAAGACAGTGGAGACAAGTGAAGATGGCCAAATAACTATTTTGTGGAACCAACAAGTCAGAACAGATAGAACCATCCCAAATAATAAACCTGACATAATAATCAGAAACAAAAACGGAACTTGCCTCTTAATTGACATAGCAGTACCAACTGACAGGAACGTAATTAAGAATGAAGCAGAAAAGATCTTGAAATACAAGGACCTTCTCATAGAAATACAGAGAATGTGGAAGGTTCAAGCAAAAGTAATCCCAATAGTTATAGGAGTGACAGGAACTGTCTCCAGATCACTCAGAAAATATTTGGCCAACATCCCAGGCGAAAACGACATCAGGGAACTGCAGAAGCCCGCCATTTTGGGAACTTCAAACATCATTCGAAAGACGCTTTCATAAAATAAAATTATATAATACATGTGGCACTTGCTAAAAACAATATCTATCCCGTAAATAGCTGCTGCCCTATGTACCTTAGGGACAAGGTCTGTCTCGGATACATGGAAGTACATACCCCTTCTGATAAAGTGGTGAATAGATGGGATAATAATAATAGCTCAATTCAATTATAAAAGTATTCGGTCTTATATTTCCTAAAACGTTTATAAAAATGTTCTCTCTTTATGATATAAAATTTAAGTTAGGTAGAAAACCAAAAGGGATACTTATTCCTTTTAATCAATCCAGATGGGATTGCTAAATCCATGACATCATGGTATTTAGCCAAGCAACGGGAGTATCAACACAAGATCTTTATACAAAGGAGGCCAGTCATGACTGGATAAGGCAGTCGCCAGCGGAGTATCTTTTAAATGCTTGTTTGAAACTACGAGAAGGCACGACGCAAACAATGATTAAGGGAGGATCGCCATATGTAGTAGTATTAACGGTAATATCTGCAACGGTTGAGAAAACAAGGTCAAGTAAGTTGATGTCGTCCTCTGAGTGATTGTACTGACAAACAAAGAAAACAAGTGGAAGAGTACATCACCTCTCCTTTCAGCTTGGCATAATAATAATTTAGGAATGACAAACTTGAATTCCAATCGAAACCAGGAAAGTTAAAGTCTCCGATCAACAAGATACTAAAGTTAAAAGTATCTAATGATTTTTCTAAGAAACTGAAATAATTATTTATCTTATAGGTTGAAAAAATTATACCCATTACACATAGAGATCTCAACCCATACACTTTCTTCAGATAATTCAAGGTCGACTCGACGTTTCACACCCATAACGGAGTCCGAGATAGCGATTAATAATAATAAATCATAAAAATAGTAATCCATAACGCACCTGAAGTTGTCAGTAATAAATGTAGCACTCTATCCCCTGAACTAATTCGTATTACGTTATTGGACTTCATTCACGTTCATCATGCTGCCTTACCGATACCTTAAATTAAGGATGACACTGACATTCCTGATTTTCTTAGCCTTATACCGTAATTTCTTCCAAGCTCACCAGTAGAAGCCGTCATCGCTGCCTTCAGACAGGTCAGTTATTAACCTGAGCATTCCACAACGAATAATCCAGCTCTGTATATACATTTTTGATCATGTCTACCGATTATGTATATATTCATTTTATTTCTTTTTACTAGCCATAAAACATTTACAGGCGTTTAGCGTTTTAACTTCTCTTTATAAGAATGGATCCATACCGGCTTAATGTTGTACTTGTGTACTTTAGCACATGCTTTTGACGATACATTTAAAGATGGAACCAAGCCAAAACATGTCGTGCTAATGTACTATTATCATAACTGAAATAAGTAATTGTGTAGACGGTACTCAAACCTTTGCTATCATCATATGCATAATCTACACACGACTTATTAGTAGAGGATATTCGAGTAATATGGAATGCCATTTTGTGTTTCCTTGATTTCTTGAAAATTTATAAATAAAAACTGAAATGTATCGTATAGTTTAAGAAAATTTAATGCACTGTAGGTTGTTCTAAAATTACACACAAGATAAGAATGCTGTTATTCACAATGTGATATAAAAATTGTTTTGCACATAATATGGAATAGGACGGGTGACGTGGCACAGAGAAATCTCTTTTAAGCCCACATTAAACTCTGTGTTTCAAAAATCACAAACATAGGCCAAAGCAGCTTCTCACATCCTGTGCATTCATTGCTTGCCCACAAACTGAAAAAACAAACCAAAAAACAACAACACTGGATCCATTCTTCCCCGTTGACATCTCGTGAGAACTTTCTTCCAAACAAGTATTCTCAGCATGTTGATTTTTCTTTTCCCAAGTTGTCAAAACCTGAAGATACGACGTATGAATAATTTCGGACTAAAAATAACATTCCAATATTTTTATGTGCCAGTAGTATGGAATATTAAACCATTGTAGCATTTCGGGGTTCCTGACACGCCATTTTTGACAAAACGGCTTGGTACTTTTTTAACAGCAATGTTTTCAATGCGCCATTTGAAAACTCAATTATGTGTAATGTCATGAACAAAGATTTATAAACTCATCTTACGTGCTACAAGGAAATAAAATTATGTTTGCTTACTTGCAAAACTTCCTAGAATTGCATATTCAGCACAGCTGAGACCTTGTCACCACACTTGTAATCAGAGGAGCCGCATAAGTAATATCAAAACACAAATCAGTAACTCAATGTTACAAGTTGGCAACAAATGTTGCCATTGAAGTCAGGCACACATTGTTCTGTCATCTATGCGCAGACTTCTACGCAATAAAAAAATATTGTCACTAGAGAAGAGAAAATAAATTCCTCAAAGTAAAATACATGTACTATTCTTAAAGATCTCCACGTAATCTGATGATTTGCAGTAATTTTGTAACCCAAAATGAAGCATTTGCTGAAACGCAGTTTTACAGAACTGAAAAATGATATTAGGTACCGAGTGTAATTTCCAAATGAAACCTTCATACTACAATCTTTACATGTTAAGCTGCCACAATAAAATTAATCCAAAATATGTGACCTAGTTTAACAAAGCTATCGTTGCATTTCTCTGACATATACCCAACATAGCCATCAACAAGATGGCTCATTAAATGACCTTATGAATCTGAAATGTCCAGTCTTCACAACAAGATCATTATTATGTGTCACCAACATTCTCATGTCATGCCAATGAATATACTTCTCCTTACTCTCAAAACCTTTATTCATCATGAAATCAAAAACTACAGTGTATCTTTTCGACATATATACTCTTTAACGTATTCTTAAAAGAAATTGGAGTAAATTTTAACCCAGTTTATGTACTTTTCACCATTATTATTATTATTATTATTGCTGTTGTTGTTACTCTTTTCTTTATTCTATGTTGATTCTCTCCCTTATCAAAAATAAATTATTAAGAGAACACCACAATTTCTAATAGGACTTTAATTTGTTTCAATACATATAACAAAGAAGTCAATAAATGCAGTGCACATGTATCTTTTCACATAAGATTAAATTCTCATAACCTCTTGATTTTTTATTGGAGATTAGACATGTAAGGTGGACATTACCTCTCATTGTATGTTCATTTGTACTTTCTATAACGACTGTATAAAGAATCTAAAATAGTGAATCATTCAGTCTCTCATTAACTCTTCAAATTAAAGTGATAACTATATGTATCATCTGCTTTAACAATCTATAACTCTGCATTTTGCCCAAAGAGTGTACTTCTGGGTTTCACATGATTCTCAAAGTAAATTACAACTATTTATTTTTGTAAACAGCATTAACAATTTAATCTTTGTAATGGACAAGTGTTGTGTTTTCTTTGTGTAAGACATAAATCTTTAAATATTATTTAAATTAGTTTCAGCTTGACTGCTCTGCATGAAATTGTAGTGTATTTTTAATTTAATTTCCAGTGTTGCCAGTTGACAATGTAATCCACTTTCCAACAAGCTAACCTTTACTACATTAAAATATCCTGTATCAGTTTCAAATATTAACTTATATTTGCATGGACATACAAAAATATCTCCTATAGTCATGCTCATGAAATGTTTGCTACACTCTTATATTCACATTTCTTATTCGTATTACAACAGATCTAAATGTGCAGTATGCCTTCTTTTCTTTTTAAGATAAAAGCCAAATGGACAAACACCTCATTCATTTACAATATTTTGGTGTTCTAAATGCAATTCATGTTTCACATTATTATCAAACATACAAGTATTCTAACCAAAATAATAATTTTACTAATTTATTTTATGCATTTTTTTCAGCACATCCAAATCATTGCAGATATGATATAAGGAAACAATATATTTAGGGGACAACTTACTACAATTATTTCAAAATGAATTTCTTTGTAGTCATCTCAAAGAAAATTCCTTTCAGAGGTTTGGCTAAATTTCCTACCAAAGGAACAATAATTAAGAAAATTAATGTCAGAATATATCTCACCAAATTAAGTGACTTCACTACAAGGTATCCACTTATTAGGGGAATGATTACATACTCTTTCACTTGGCCCATCTCCAACCTGTGTCAGCAAGCCATACGTGGATCTAACGAATGGGATTTTGCTGAAGCACTAAGATTCTGTTTATATGGCAGTTGTTTCGTCGCTCCAACCTTATATGGATGGCTTAGACTGGCTGCCAACATGTGGCCACAACTCAATTACAGATCAGCAATTGCAAAGGCAAGTCACATTATATTGTGGCTTTGTGATTTTAAAGAGCATATCCAAATCAGTTCCCTTGTGAAGTGAATTTCATTGCTTTAGTAACATAATGTGATTATAAATACAGTTTGGTGTTAGTAACATATTTGCTAGCTACTGTACACTTAAAATCAGTTACAAGTTTCTGTCCAAAACCCTGAAGAGAGAAGATCTTTCATGAAACCTAGGCATAAAAGAAGAATCATCTTAAAATTAATCTTAAAGATTTATGAGGGTGTGCCCTAAACTAATATGGCTTAAAATAGGGACCAATGTTGGTGAAGCAATAATTTTATAATCCACGTATTTCACGAAATTTAGTCCATTGTAGTTGTCTCAATCTATGTACTTCCTTACCTACGTATTGCAGTGATGTAGAACAATGGTCCTCTAATGCAGCAACGAGCTTTTCATGGTAAACACCACCCAATATTTTCAATGCTTCACTGCTTGACAAAGAAAAGGGATGAAACTTTTTTAATATGGGCACTTATGAACAAAGAGTGAATGTGACCATTTTCAACTATTCTTCAAAATAAAAACTGAAGATATACATATTCTTCAGATATTTGTTGTCAATAAATGAGAACACATTCTCTTAAAATGTTTGTATGATAAAATAATTTCTACAGTTAAAAAACACAAATTGCTTTCATTCTTGACAGATGGCATGAGACA